TCCAAAACTATAATCAATCAATCACCTTTATTTAACCAGATAGAGCCCGTTGAGATCGAGATCTCTTTTACAAGGGTGACCTGGTCAAGTGGTCATCAGCACACGTCACATAGTAATGTACTAGTGTTATAATGTACAATTAATTATTAAATGAAAATTGTTTGTTTAATCCTCTTGACTTGAACATTTAATTTTCAGGCAGTTTTATCTTTTCAATTCAAATTAAACATAAGATAAAAATGTTGCCTTGAAAGTGAGTAAGTAATTAAATAAACAAAGCAGGTAATGGCAGGCACAGGAAGCGGCAGCATCCAAAATACATTGCATTGTCCAAAATACCTCAGAAACTCATCCAAATGAAGCAACTTCTGTGAGATTCTGCTTTTCTTACTGGATTCTATTTTGTTTCGTCAATTCTGTGATTTTGTCTGCAATTTCCCCATTGCGTAAATGTGTTTTAATTTTTTTACATAGGTTGGGAATCATTGTTCTAGAGAGATGAACTTTTCAAAACCGCAGGTGGTCTCAGATGTGGGTTTGAAATAAGCATTTTAAAATGTTTTCAAAATATGTCTGGCACTTTGGAGAAAATCCAGGACTCACTGGAGGGATCATGTATTCCCTCTGGCCTGGGAACGTCTCGGTGTCCCCCAGGACGAGCTGGAAAGTGTCGTTGGGGATAGCGCGGGGTCTCCTGCTGCCCCCGCCCCCGATAGTGGGTAAGCCGGCCGGACGGACAATTTATGTTGTTAGTCTAAATTATTACATTTAAAATTATAACTCTAATTCAAGCAGAATAACTTATTGTCAACATAATTATGGAGTGTGATTTATTTTCAACTCAAAATATCTTCAAACTAACGAAATATAAAGTTATTAGTGAAGAAAACCCGTCTGGATAACAGCAGACTGACTTCACGTAAAACATACGACAGGTCTGGACCACTCGTAAATTTTGTTCGTATCTGAAAAAAATCTTAGAATACGAAAACATTGGTGAATGCCACAAATTCTCCTAAATCACTCGTACGCACAATTTAAGAACAAATCTGTGCGTACAAACGGTTCTTGCATGAGGCCCAATGTTTCTTCACAGCCTAGTGCTCAAAATGTATCAATGTTGTTGGTTAGGCTGATTGGTGTGGGATCTTTTTTGGGGTCTGCCCATTTTGACATCAAACATAGCTTTGTTCAAACTTTGCAAAATACACGGGCATCGAGTTCTGAACGTGGTGCGAGAGCCCTTTATCATTAACGTTTAAATTTGTGTTTTCTAAGGTCGCTTAGCTATGGTGGCTATCTTGAATGCGGATTAGCACCAAAAGTTAATCAGTTGTAAATGAACATGGGGTAATTACTTTCAGCTGGTTTTGATCAAATCTGTCCAGTGATTCAAGAGATATTTTTGCAGCCAACAAATTTCTCATCACCATCTTCCTCTTGTGTTCTGTTTGAATTAGAGAGCATTAAAATAATTTTTGAGTGACAGAGCTGGAACAGTACACCTTTTTTATAGATGGAATAAATGATAATAACATCATGAGTGATGCATAAATATTCTTATATCCCTCACTGATTGTGAGCTTGCTCCCCCACCCAGCCGTCCCTGTCCCACGGGACGCAGTGATTTCAATTTACTTAGTGGGAGTCTGTGCACTTCTCTCTCAATAAATACCTGCAGATTGGATTGAACACACTTAAAGTCATTGGCTGTAAATGAGGGAGACTGAGGTCACCAGACTTCATAGAGCCAACGGAATGTGCCCCAGAGTGAGTGAAGCCTCAAAAGGACAGGAATGTGTGAAGATCAGCATTCATCTTCACCAAACTGAGTTGTTCAAGAATTGCACCTAACTGGTTTATTTTTGTGCTTCAGCAATGGGAGAGTGTTGGTCACCAAACAGTGACAAGTTTTAACCTTATTCATTATCTGTCAGGGAGAATGTTTTTGTAAGATAAAAAAATCACAGGGTGGAGAACTTGATATTTTATTTATATTTTTATTTAGGAATAGAACGTTTTTATAGTGGGTGGATCAAAGCACTTTAACATTTTGTGCCAGAGTTTTTCTTTTTTAAGCCACTTCAGTAGAAAACAGAACTGAATATTAGTTTCTCCATCATCATTGTAGAGCAGCAAAAGTTCAGATTTTTGAACTCGAGCATCAACTGCTTTCGCTACACTGCATGCACGGAAAATGCTCTACTGTTACCTTCCGCTTCCTTGTGCGCCACGCTAAATGGACTAGATGTGCCGCGAGACCCCTAGATGCGCATCCACCATAGACTTTGCATGTAAACCGGCCGCTCCTGCAGCACAAAACGTGTTTGGTGTAATTGTGTTAGCGCAGCTGCCTTAAGGTTTGATTTGTTATCACTGAGTGTGGTTGAGTTTTGTTGAATCTTTGAGGTTGCATGTCGAGTCGGACTCCGATTCAGCTGTTTCTCTGCTTGGGCTAGAACTGTGCCAGGTGAGGAGATAGTTCTGCCTCCTGAGAAATTCAGTGTAAGACACGGGGTGCTAAACTCAGGAGGGAGTTTGATGGGCAGCAGCTGTTTTGTTTGTGTACAAAATTTTAGATTTTTGACATCTATCAGTGGTTGGAGGCATTTTAGGAGGTCTTGACCTATCAAAAACAGTTCAATACCTTCTTTTGACACATAAACTGGGTGTTTAAGTGTCATAAGAAGGTAGTGATCTTTCCACTGGAATATTTAATAGTGAATGTGGAGACCCACAGACCCAACCCCCGAGACCCAAAGCAGACATAAGGGAGACCAGTGCCAAAGACCCCAAGAGGGATCCCAAGCACGGAGCCCCCAGGGCCACCAGTGCAGGAAGAACTGCACACTCGCTCCGCCCAGAGTGGACTATAGGAGAGAACCAGGAGAGCCCCGCCAGCGACCCCACACAGTAATCCCCCAGGGCCAGCAGCGGCGAGCTCACAGGCCCCGCCGGCACCTGCCGCGCCGGAGTAGACCCAGGCATGGACACAGAAGCCCGGGCCCCCAGGGCGCACTACCCCCAGGCCAAGTCCCGATAGGGCCAGAAGACCCAAATCCCACCAGCAGCCACCGGGCCGAGCCGGCACACGCCCAAGCGCCCAGACACCGAGGGCCACCAGCGCACCAGCGCATCAGCCGGCGAAGGCACAGCCCACCAGAGGGCAGAGTGGCAGGGGGATGAAGCCCACCACCAGCAGTGCCCCCCCACCTCCGGTGAACCAGAAGCGGGGGCAGCCCAAGACCCAGCCTGACGCATGTCCAAGCATACACAGACACAATCACACAATCCCACCGTCATCCTCACACCCACTCATTCAAAAACACACAAGATAGATGTAACACTCAAATCACACTCCCCATACATGCTCCATACCACCCAGAGTTTTCAACTAAAATCATTTTATGATAAGAAGAGATTAGTTATAGAGAAAAGTTATAGCTGTTATTAAATGGGTTCTTTAGATATTTTACTAACAGTCAAACAGGGTTAACAACAGCAGGTAAAACCAAAGTTTTTAAGCAAAATGTTTTTGAATTGTACTTATACAGCACCTTTCTATCCAACCAGGATACTCAAAGTGCTTTGTGACATAATCTGTTTCCTCATTTATCCATTCACACTCTTATGTCTCTCAGTAGTGATAATCTAAATAAAACATTCTATAAAGACTGATCAGTGCTTTAGATCACATTCATACACTGATGGGACACATATCAGAGGCAATGGGGCTCAATAGTGGTGAAGCTGCAACCCCAACACTCTTATTGGAGGACGACTCCCTTAACCACTCAGCTAAAGCTGCCCTGTGTAGCTCTAGAGATTGTAGTGAGGATGACTCACAACAGCTCTACCAACTGAGCCACCGTCCCACAGAACAGGAGTTCTCAAAAAGTTATTCAAATATAGATGTTTTTATTATTTTTCTGAGAATTTCATTTAAATTTATCCAGTGGTTTATAAGATATGTTGCAAACACAACAAAATTTTGATTAAAAATGTGACTAAAATGCCATCATTAAATTACATTCAGACACAGTGCCCTGACTGCCTTAAGATGATAAAAAATATGTTTTGTGTTTGTTTGTTTTTTTGTTTTTTTTTTAAATTCCAATGTGAAACTAGACTAATATAATCTCAGATGAACATAGATATGAGACACTTGACGATGTGTCATAATTTACCTAATAAAAAGGCCTAACATTCCTATACGGAATACATATCTCCCACGTTCTTATTAGTTTCAAACTAAGATCATCTTGTGATGAGAAATAACAAAGTTGCAGGTGTTTTGGTCAAACTTTAGAAATACTGTCTCATGAGATATCACAAGATTGGTGTGATGTTAGAAAAGAATCATAAAGCAGCATTATGACATTAAATTTGGAAAACCGTCACAATTCTCAAACAATAATGAGGCTTAAATTTATATTTTCTATCACTGAGCTCCTTAAATCTCCCTTTGCAGGTTCATAAATAAAAATGACAAGTTCGTGAATAAAACTTTAAAAGCTCAAAACCAGTCCTTTAAAAATAAGGAGATAAGAACTACATTTGATAGGTCAAAGTGAACATTTCCACAAAATGCTAAACAGCTGTCAATCAACTGTCTCTATAACGTCAAAAAGTCTGATGCTGTCCAGAGTCATTGAGCCAGCACTCTATATAAAATAGGTAAACATCCAACAGGAACATGTTCATATTGTAATCAGTCAGAGACAGTGGAACATGTATTGATTCATTGTAACAAATATAGAAATCACAGAGATAATCTTTTTAGGTCATTAAGTAATGGAAAACAGCAGAACTTTACATTATGCTTTTGTAGGATAAATCTGCCACCATATTCAGTAAAATAATTTTATTTTTGAAATCAACAGGTTTATTTAGTCGAATATAGTTTTTTTTCCTTCTTGCCTGCCTTCTCCAGTTCCACCATCCAGTCTAGTAGTGGCGGTAATGCATTAAAACAGTCTGCCAACTGCCGTTAAACCAAAAGAAGAAGAAGAAGAAGAAGTAGACGAGTCATTGAGCAGCATCTGTGTGCCATTAACTCATTACGCTCTAAATGGTCAGGACTTGTTCTGGGCAATATTTATAAACCAACATGATCACCTTGTTCGTTGCTGTTAGGTTTGACCATGATGACTGCTGTGTTTTATCTGAGGTAAGCGGTCCTAATTGCATATTCATTGAATTAAAGTGCTCTTCCATTGAGATTTCTTTTTTGTTTAGGGCGTTCCTCTGTGCCATGCTGATTTTGAGTACACATGGCTTTCCAATTAAAGGTAAGATTTCTGAAACTGGAGAAGGCAGGCAAGAAGGAAAAAAAACTATATTCGACTAATACACCCTTTGTAGTGACCTATCTTTACTTAATGCATCTTATTTTGCCCGCTCCAGGATCAAAATCTCAGGATCAGAGTAGTGGTGGCTCATACACTGATAGCCATTCCTCTAACTGGGAAAGGCCTGGAGGTCACTATTCACCCATGTCTTACAGCCCTGCTAGAGATGTGCCAATGGTTGGGCCCAGTTCCTACCAGTTTGAGACAAACCCAGCATCAGGAAACTTGCTGTCTGGTACACTTCCAGCAGGATATGCTGTTGGTGCTGGCTATGTTCCTGTTGTACCTGCCCAGCTTGGATATGCTGACTCAGCTCAACCTAGTCCACCAGGTAATCTGAAATGTTTGCCTAAGGCTTGACTTTACAGGATGTACTAATAAATGTTAACCTCTGTTTCCCAGAAACAAAGTGGACTGTCCCTTCAATCTTTGAAAAGGGCCTTGCTGACAATGAGGCTTTAAGTTCCAACGATTTCAGCTCTAGTGCTGAGCTTGCTCCGGCTGCACCATCTGGCCCAGGCCTCCAGTCTGGCGAGACCTCTAGTGTCAAGAAAGAAGCTGAACATGGAAAGTTTCATGGTGAAACTGAGGAAGTTGGCTACTCTGCTGGTCCAGGGTTTGCAATGGACTCTGTTGGCCCTTGGGTCTACCCCAATCTGTACCCTTATCCTCTTCCCCATCCTTACCCCCAGTTTGACTACAGGCTCTTGTATGGCTTGTACCCTCCTGGCACCTACTCAACCTTCAACAAACAACATGAAAAGGGCAAGGACTACTATCAAAGCATCCACTATATGAAGGAGCATGGTCCAGACACCCCTGGCAGTCATGGTTCTGAGCAGCAGAAAAAGATCTACCCCTATGGGGCCTAAACTGTTGAACTGACAAAGGTAAGATGATGAAACTGTTCATGAATTCAAATCTATAATCTTTACTGACAATGTCTCTGTCTTCCAGACTGGCTACAAGTGGCTCTTGTGAAATTGTCCTTTAAATAAAAATTTTAGTACATTTATCCTAAGGAATGCATCAACTTTGTAAATGTCTGAAAAAAGTTCTATTTTCAGTCATCTTGCAGTCTTTGTAAAACAAAGCCTCAGACACTGCTCCAATTTTTTAAATTCTGACTGATTAACTAGTTTTTTTTAAACAATTTGGCTTCTGTAAATGCATTGTAACTCAGTCTGTAAATTAACCTTGAATGCCCAAGAAATGTAAGGCATATCTGCTGGCTTAAGTTTCTCCCCCAAGAATTGACTATCATGCAATACTTTGCTAAAACCTTAGCTCCATCTGGAAGCAGTTTGGCAATCTTGGGGTAAATCACAAGTGATTTGTGGATAAAAATCTTGTGCACTCTTCACTGTTTAAAGCACATGTGTCAAACACGAGGCCTGCGGGCCACATAAATTTTTATTTTAATAAAAATAAATGAAATAGAAATTAAAAAATTCCTGTCCCTGAGCTGTTGGCTTGAAGTAACTAGTTGGATAGCACAGTACTGTCTGAAATAAGCTGCTTAAAGTCACCATCAAACATAAACTAAATCTGCCATAATGCAGCTACTCACTAGAAACTCATCAGTGAGTAAAACTTTATTTGTTTTAATATTTCTGTATTCATTACATATTTAATCAGTCACACACAGTTCTTATCAGTGTTTAAAAAAAAAAAAAGAGGACGTGTTAAAACTGTTTAGTCAAAGTTAAACACGAAACAAAGTTCTTACAAGTGGTCCTTGAGGGCCACCATAACGCTCATGTCGCCCTCAGTGAAAGAGTTTGGCACCCCTGGTCTAAAGCGACATCCCATAATCTAAAATCTGAATAGACTGAGTCAGTTTAAAGTTTAGACAATCTGGCCACAAGTTTTCAATTCATAGCTAGTGTGTCTGTTTGGGCAATTGCAGACCAATAAAATGATGATCCTGGACCATAGACACTTACACTGACTTAAATTTAATGTACTAAGAGTTAAATAATCAGAGCAATACAGATAATCCAGAATATTAGACCACAAATTGTAACAAATCTGAAGTGCTTTATACACATTGAAGTTCTTACAAAAGCAAAGGCATCTCTTTGGTTGGTTCATTACATGCAGACATTGAAAACAGTCTTTTAGTGACAAAGGTGGGAGAGCAAAGTATAAAACATCTGCACATGTCTAAGATTTATTCAACTGGTCTATTTAAATCAACTGCAACCATGTTGTCCTTTAATGAACACCAGGAGACTTTTTTTTTTTCCCTACAGATAAAAAAAAAATCAGACTTGGCTCTGTTCCTAATTGCTTCATGAGAGGAATCTGCAGGAATGAAGCTTGGACTGTTTACTTTGTATGCTAAACGAATGAGGATGTTGCTGGCTTTCCCCACCATTGCCTCCATGCATGAAGCTATTTTTAGCTGGATTATCTAACTAAAAAGATCAGCTTTTTCTTTGACCATTTACTTTTGAGCCGAGTTTCCTCTCAGGATTGGAGGCGATGGAGTTAACGGGGACCCTTCAACTCCTGACTGAAGACTGAGCCGTCTCCTCAGCAGCTTGGGCTGACATAACTAAAGAGGCATTAACACCCGCTTACATCACTAAACAAACGCGGGGCCTTGATGAGCATGGGAAAACAGCATTCTAGTCCAGCGGTGAATTGAACAAGAAAACAAGGCACAATCTGAGCCTTGTGTGGAACTACTCATCTCTATACCTCTATCTGCATGGAGCTGACAACTTTGTCTCATGTTTACCAATTTTCCCAGGCACAACCAGCTCCATAAAAATGCCTCTTCCTGTGTCTGAGATCATAAATTTAAAGCAGTAGGGTGGTGCCTTTGTTTGCACCTTGCTACCAGTAGACATTGTGTTGACATTCTGTTTGTGAAGCAGCCATCAGTGTCTTTGCAATGTGATGAAGCTGCTCCACATCTGATCAGCTCTGAAGACAGCTGGAGGCCTTCACCAACTGCAGTCATTTACAATAAGATTTGCCAGGATCAAGATGTAAGCTGAAAGTCCTAGAATCCCTTGAAAAAAATGCAGATGGCCTGCTGGCTTTCATGCCGATTTTAAAAATGTGATTCTGTAAAATGTAAATAGAAACAAAACTAAGTCTCAAACTGATAATTTCAAATATCAAATGTTCCACAAAGGAAACAAGACAATTTTTTATTTTGGAAAAAAGTAGTCTATTTGAATTTTAAGGAAGCAACCTATTAAAGAAAGTTGGGACAGAGACAGACTGTGAAAGTGGTATGGAAAAAAAACTGCTTTAAACTTATGTGCAGTCTCAAAGTATTGATTTGGCTAAGGCTTATTAGTTGTAATGGCCATCCTGGATTGCACTGACTCCAAAAAATTAATCAAATGTACATAAGATGATCATTTTTTTTCATGAGATATTATGCTAACAGATTGATTTGACTCAAATGCCACAGTTTTAAGCATTTAGTGCATATAGTATGATGACTCTCTACTACCAGACCAAATTTAAGCTTTTCTGTAAGACTGACTAAATTATGACCATTTTATTTTACGGTCAGGTGGCTACGGCAACCATTTTGAATTGGGCTGGCTTCAAAAGTGAATCAGTTTTAGTGATGTATTGAATGGTTTGGCAACAGATTTTTAATTTGTTTTTCCTTTTTGTCTTACCCATCAATGCTTCTCAATAAGCATTTTCTTAACTGATTCACTGTTCCTCCTCCATTCAGTCTAGAAATGAAAGAACTACATGTGCATTTTTCTGTCTATGCTGCTTTTATACTTTTATTTTCCAAAATGTGAACAGACCAGTTCAAAAGCCATTATGAGTGTGTTAGCTTCGAAACTCTGCACAAAGAACGAGAAGTGCACAAGAGTTTTCTGATTTGTGAGGTGTCACATTCATCACCAGTAGAAGGGTGAACTAATCACTTACACCCATTAAAAGAAGCTGCTGCAGCTCCAAGGGGGAGCGGCGCTGCTATTAACATCACAGGTTTGGAGAAGGTTATCAATATCCACTTGTATCGATGGAAGTGTCCAGATAACATGTGAGCTTAGCTTTAGTGCAGATCTGCTCTTTAAGGCCGAGGAAGGAGCGTGAACTCCAGCCAGCCTCATTTCAGCCAGAGCTAATATCCTCCATGCTTCTTTTGACCTACTTATGAAGTCAACCTTAAAAAGCTATTGATCCGAGTGCTGGATGATTTGATGCATCTTGGCCAAATCAGGAAGAAAAGAGGGGCTTAAGTGTGTGGGGGTCTGTGCTTCCCTGTTATTTTCCTTATGACCAGATGTTCTGCCGGGTCAGAGGTCCGGGGGCCGTCCTCCCACCCAGGGTCGTCTGACATTAACATTGTGCAAGAGTTAATTTAATTTTCAGACAACAGTTTTATACACAGAAATGAACCCCTTTTTAAACAGTGGTAGATTTTGAAAGGTGGTAAAGGGAAGCTAATAGAATCAGCAGCTGATTCAACTGCCAAAGTATTTTCCTATGTGTATTTAATCAATGCTTAAGACTCATAATAGGCCAGGTCAGCGGCAGGAAGATTTCCATAATCGATGTGAGGAGGTTCTCAGGTTCAGCAGGTTACTGTGTTCCCCCTCTCTCCTCATTTTTCATGGAGTTATTTATTGTCAGGGTGTCTGTCAGAGTTGGGAAATAGTGCAGCTCAGGAGCGACGGCAGCTGAGGTCAGATCGCTGCTGACGCTGTGGACTATGGTTCTGCTTTGCCCTGACCCAGACATCAAGTCCTTTTACTGCCCTTTTCACAGCACCAATACACCCACCACATTTACATTAATGTTACATTTAGACCTGGACCACAGCCTGAAACAGGTGATGGAATGTTAGAAGCTTAACCTTCCAAATATTAATACATGAATTAGAGCAAAAATGTCCTGTCTAAAACAAACATTTGTCCACTGTCCCAGCACTGTGATTTGGATGAAATCCTGATTGAAATTTGTCAAAAATATAGTTTTTAACTATTATGTTCAGCAGCAGGTTACACACATTTTTCTACCATCTTTTTATTTGAAAAATTACAGTCAGTTCAAATTAGGTTTATTGAAAAGTGGTTTAACTGAAGCAAAAAGCAAAAAAACATGAAATCTAGAAAAATTCAGATAGGGAAGAACTGATGGACAGCATCATTAGCCCAACAGAAGATTCTTAAAGAGTTAGGGAGTCACAATATTGAGTGAGCTTTTAGTAACATAAGTGTGGTGACGACTAGTTCTTTGACAGTAAAAAAGTGGAATATGGTCAAAGCAAACAGAATGGAAGTGTTATGACTCAGAGAACGAATTAAAAAGATGGGCCAGGACAACACATGTTCCTATTTTCAGAATTTTAGGGTTAGGGGTCTCTGCAGCAGGTTTTGTCCAGTGGGCAGAGACGTCCCTGCTCGTGATTGGCAGACGTCTTGATGTGGGCGGAGATGGCCCGAGACGTGATTGGTCAGATTGACAGTGGGGTTTGAGGAGGCTGGAGAGGCAGTGGGGAGTAGCTTGATCGAGTAGGGCAGGAAGCAACATGTTTTTAAGACTAATTTGAGTCATAACTTGAGAAAGGAAAGTGCTAGTTGCATGAAATTTGAACGTCATACACGTGAAAGGATGTGTAACAATGTGGCTTGGTTGAAACATCCCTAAACGCTTGTAAAAAGATTGCTAAAATCAATATCTTTTTATCAATATCTCTACTTATATAGCGCCTTTCTATCCATCCAGGACACTCAAAGCGCTTCACACTACTCACATTCACCCATGCACACTCACATTCACACATTGATGATGGCAAACTACAATTGTAGCCACAGCTGCCCTGGGACACACTGACAGAGGCGAGGCCACCATACACAGGCGCAACCAGACCCTCTGACCACCATCAGTAGGCAAGGCAGGTAGACAGGTGATCTATACGACCACTCTGTCATGTGATTAAAGAACCAACAGCTTTATTATAAAGGAAAGATAAATAATGACATACAGTACAGCAACTTTGTACTAGTGTAAATATTAGTTCACCGGAAAATTGCAGAACTGAGTTAATTCATCAAGTTTTGAGAACGATATCCATTAAACTTCTCATCACACATTTAATTCAGTGAACCCCATCAACCCAGCTGAGTTCTGCTCCATGCCCTATTTGGTTCAGCACTGCTTGCTTTACTTCTGAAAATTCACATTTGTGTGAAGACGTGGCCATCTTGGTCTGTGATTTTCACTTAATTTAACATTAACTGACAAAAGATTATCTTGAAGCCAACCATGAAATGTCTGAAGATCTGCTTGTAACTGACTATTAATAGATTCAATACTGAAATCAGATTAAAAAAAGAACAGTATCATCAGCATACATTAAAATATTTGAATACTTCAACATTTTTGGTAGGTCATTTATTACAATAGGAAAAGCAATGGGCCCAGTATGCTACCCTGCGGTACTCCCACGGAACAGGGCAGAGACCCGGACACAGAGCTTCCATGTTTCACAACCTGACACCTGTCAGTCAAATAAGAGGAAAACGTTAGTACTGCAGATGATGAAAGTTGAAAAGAAATCAACTTTTGTAAGAGAGTATAATGATCAACTGTGTCAAACGCTTTACGAAAATCAATATATACAGCACCAGTTACTTGACCTTTGTTCAAAGCAGCACGTATTTGTTCAGTGAATAAAATTAATGCAGACATGGTTGACCTTGACGTGCGAAAACCATATTGGCTATTGCTTAGCATATTATTAGCTTCTAGATGCTGAASTAGTTGATTAAATAATGTTTTTTCAAGTAACTTAGAAAAAATAGGAAGAACAGAAAWTSYCCGATAGTTTGAAACTTCTGTTGGATCACCAGATTTAAAAATGGGAATAATCTGAGCAAACTTCCAGGCATCAGGGAAAATAGACTGCATGATACATAAATTAAGCAAATGACGAAACAATGGTAAAAAAGTGTTGGCATGCATTTTCAAGAAATCCATATTTATCTTATATTTGTCAAATGCATGTGAGCCATTTAGAGATTGGAGTGTGTTCAAAACATCACTCTGTGAAATTTCAGAAAATGAAAATTGCTTTGATGTGTCAGGATATTTAAATAACTTTAAACTATTAGCTTGTCCCGGTGATGTCCTTACTGAAGAAATAAAATATTCATTAAATAAGTTAGCAATTTTTTCATGATCAGAAACAAGAAGTCCATTTACTGAGATTTGTGAATTGTTATTAAATGTTTTATTGTTACTTTCACCTGTCACTGACTTAATCATTTCCCATAATATTTTTGGATTCTTACTGGCTGAAATAATTTGATTTTTAAAACATTGTTGTTTGGCTTTGTGTAATTCAGCAACACATTTATTTCGGTAACTGTTTAAACGAGACCGATTTTCAGAAGTTTTTGATATTTTATAAGTTTTCATTGAAGAAGCTTTCAACTTTAGGAGATGTATTATAGAGGCATTCAACCATGGAATTTTATTTTTCCGGACTGGAACTTTACAAGTTGAAATATATTTTTCCTGTATTGTCTCCAACTTATCATAAAAAATTGACAAAATGTGATTTGTATTTGACAGAGAAATACCCTCATTCCAGTTAGTATTCTCAATCTCAGCATGAAACATGGGTAACTTTGATTTTGGAATCCTTTTAATGAAATCATGCACATGACCTGTAGGTTTCTTAAGGTTTTTTCTAATGACACAAATAAGTGAATGATCTGAGACTGAAGTATTTATAACTCCAGATATGCCATATATGGAGGATCAATTTGTGAAAATAAGATCCAAAATGGAATTGCATGTCTTGCCAAATCTTGTTGGTACTTTAATTAACTGTTGAAGCCCTAAGTTTATAGACATTGCTTTCAGGCCTTTGGAAGTTTTATCAGCCCAATTCATATTGATATCACCAAGAATCACAAACTCTTTTGATTTTATGTCTTTTATAATGTCAGTGAGCTGCGCTAAATACTTAGTTGAATTAACACTTGGAGGTTTATATGTAACAACAACCGTTACTGAAAGGTGATTTGTAAGCTTGATTTCTAATTGCAGAGATTCAGACTCAGTTGACAATTCTATTATAGAATGATATAGAATATATAGAATTTGAATTTAACTGTGGTTGGATGAGAAGTATAAATATATACCATTCTGACACCCTATTAGCTTGTACACAACCCATCACAGCTGCACACCGTTAGAAAATATATTTTTTGGAGGTCACCTCCCAGTAAATGTCATTTTGGAAGATCCAACTGCTCACTTTTGCTCAGTACTTTTACTTTTAATACTTAAGTAGATTTTGTGTCAGAAATTTATTTTGACACTTAAGTACAAAAAAATATCAGATACTTTAAGACTTTTACTCAAGTAATATTTTAGAGAAGACTTTAACTTTTACCAAAGTATTTTTATGATAAAATACTACTTTTACTCAAGTATGACTTTGAGGTACTTTATACAACACTGGATTTTCACTTAGCCAGAGGCACCATGACTAAATGCTCTTTTCAGCCGTTTTGCCTAACTGTGAAAAGCTGTAACTGTAAAAGAGCCAGAAGAAACAAAATGATTTTTGGTAGATCCTATGATCTAAATTGGTACCATATTTTTATCAATTTGACTTGGTTTTTTATCAATTTGACTTGGTATATTTTGTGTAATCTTAGATATTTCCTTTATTTGTTTCCTTTATTTAACCAGGTTTGAAACCCAATTGAGATTGAGATCTCATTCCCAAGGGGGACCTGGACAAAAGATTTACATTTTCATTTTTGCACTGTGCTGAAGAGAAATAATGGGGAAAAAAGCACACAAAAAAAGCAAAACATTTTGACAGTCAGGAATCTAACCTTGTCACAACTTGCCATGGAAATCTAGTCTAG